ACACTAACTCTTCTCAATAACTCCGCGAAAATGTTATGCCAAAGATCCACCTTGAGGCCCAGATCCATTTGGTGCCACTGAACCTCATTTCATGGCCAATCATTGGGTAGATGTGGATGCGCTTGGTAACGTTATGGAAGTCACAGTTACTTCATACCACTGTTTTCCCTTAACAGAGCCATGTTACGAGCTAAAATTAGCTGATTGTGGTTACAGACTCAAAGGAGAGTTTAAGTGTAGCATTTTATGGAAACTGCCCATTTTGTGAACCTATTTTCCGAGGCATTCAGAGCATTCTGCGTGCCATTACTGGCTCTAAGGTTGGAGTCATTCGACCGACATAAATGTGAGGACCTGTCACGCCTCATCGATTATCAAAGGTAACCATATGTTGTCCAAAGCTTTTACTTCCTCAAGCCTTCTTATTAGCATTGCAACACTAATTGTACTTATGGACATGATTTTTCTACTCGCCAGAAGAACATAAAGGAGATTTTAGAACGAAAGACTGCCAAATTCGGATGGTCAACTGTCTGCTGCCCACTACGCATTGATGCAGGCTCCAAATAACCGGAGTAATGGAGGTCTTGGTCAATGACCTTCAAACAGCGCATTTTGATAGCTTCAGTAAACACGATGAAATACAAATTGAGTGCCTTTAAACCACATTGTCTGTCCTACTCGTGTGTTTACCCTCCTCGACATTTCAGCCACTGCATGTGGATTTTCTAATGGCAGCTGTGTAAGAACAGAGACCAGATGAGACGCATAGTACAACGCATCAAATGGGTGGACGGAGGCATTGCAGAACCTCATGGACTGTTGTCTGCATTTCACAGGATTCTTACATGTTGCAAGTTGATGGAGTCGTCTGTACTGCAGAATCTGTTTCAGCTGATTATTTGTGCCAAATTATACCGACACCAGTCTCTCAATTAAAAATCCGAAAAATAATCCTAGTTTCTGTGTTATTGACACGCAATTGGAATTACAATTCTCAGATCTTGACAAAACGGTGTTGCTGTTTTTGGAATGTTTTGGAAACAACTCCACTCTAGACTGACAGCTCTTATTATTTAAGCAAACATGTGCGCCAATTTCGTTGTCATCAATACTGCCTTCAAAGCTCCTCACATCAAATGTCAGACTACCAAAGACCAGGCGAATAGCCGTGTGGTCGTAGTTACTATACTCAGCTATTCCGCAGCTTGTAGCTTTCGGGCTGAATGAATGTAAAACACTCTCGGTAGTTGGATATGATTGGAAGAGACTTATCCATCAAGTAACTGATGGATTAATTAGAAAGCGAAGTGCTTCATTTGGTTTTGGTACAGCAAGGTGGACCCGTTAGGTCTTCGGTCGCCTCATCTGCTTCAGCTTACCGCCGCCTCCCCTTGGCTTTATGATCTGTGAGGTTCAACGTCAACGCTTGAGCATTTATGAACCTACTGGACAGGGTCGTAAAGAAAGTCCTTTTCAGTGTCCAAAGATTAAGCTGCAGGATAAGTGTAAATGTGGCAACCCAATACATTTACCCCACTAGAAAAGCAAGAGGATGAAGTAATGCGAAAAGATGATGAGAAAGGCAGCTCAGAAAGGAGGTACTGTAAAGTTGGTCCAGAAAATACACATGAGTACTTAATGTAAGAGAACGAAAAGGTTAAAACTGTGCTTGATTCGCCTGCCTACAACTTGTCAACTTACTCGACACTGTCAGTTCTGGATCACTCTCATACCGTGCTTTTTATGAAATATGGCTATAGAGGCTCTGCTAAGTTCGATGTTGGTCGCATTAGATGCTTAGGTAATTTGGGACAATATCCTTGTTTTGCGTTACGCAAGCATAGTTCCCCGTAAAGTTGTGCTTCTTTGAGTCACCAACAAGAGATCTTAAATAGGTTTCTTCAAAAAAATTCCACATATGATGTCTCTTCATCTATGATAATGTCAAGGAGTCAATACAAAATACGAGAGGTTTCAATGCGTCATGCGCGCGGACAAGAGGATGGTGAAAGGGGGAGGAAAGGATTTGGTGAGTTCAAGGGAAAGAGGGCTGGATCGTGTGCGGTCATTTGATGGACGTTCTCAAC